GAATCTCGGGCCTCTTAACGATTCACGATTAGATGTAGAACACCTACGCGATGAACGCTGTTCCTTTTGCCTCGGGTCACGAATTTTGCCATTATTCTTGAAGCATTCCACGAAAATGTCCACTGTGGGAGTCAAGATGAGTGCTTATAACTTTGGGCCGATTTTAATCAAAGCAAAACATCCGGTTGAAATGGTTCGCATTAATAATTACTGCGATTGTAGAATAAAACTTTCGTGAATAATTTATTTTGTCGCGCTGAAATGCTCATCGTCTCCTCCCAGAGAACAGGCTGAAATAAGATGTTTTTATTCCTCATCATTAACCTAATTTACGGAAACGAAGGCACATTATTCACCGTAACGTGTGCCGCGGAATCAAGTGGTCATGTTACTTATCGTAAAAACACGCCACTTATCGATGACTCGTTAACAGAATGTACTACGGTGAAACTTAGCTGGTGTATGATAATTTACAACTACTCTGGACAGGACAATAAAACCTGCAATCTGTGCTGGTAAAATATCTTTTAAAGCTATTGGAAAATCTTATGATTAATTAAATGAAATTTAAAGCGTTAGAAAACGATGTTGTTGAATTTTTCGAAGACAAATTGATTGTTCGTCAATTTCTCACGGTACGGGTCAGAGAGAAGTGATTTTTTAACACCTGGAATGTCATTAAGTCAACAGGTCAAGACGATTTTAGCCTAGGTACGATCCGAAAAAGCGAAGCCACCTTCCGGTGGACATCATCTCAAGGATCGTTCCGCTTTACGAGGCCAATTACCAATGGCCGCGGGATGCAACTGGACGTTCATAGTTTCCCTAACGAGCCGCGGGGAACCAGGCCCAGAGACGATATTAGCAAAAGCAACTGGACTAATGACCATAAAGGGATACCGAACAAACCGTTAACGTTATTAAGAATATCCACATCCTGTTTCTGCTGTCCGTGTGCCTGCCTGCCAAGATCCAGCTAAACCAGAGCGAGATATTACACGTTGTTGGCTGATTTCGAAACATAAAAACCCTACCGCCATTTGATAACATAAAAGTACCATAAAACAGCACTTATTCTGTATCAATTATCAACCATAAAGTTCCATAAACATGGCCGAATAAATGTTTCCTTTAATAGTCTTGATAGAAAATGATGAGCTTCTGTTCGTAGCTAACAATGATTCTAATAGAAATGTATTCTGACTAATGAAAAGACTAATTAAATGAATTGAAAATTTTAATTTTCCAGAAAATCACTACGTAAACCCTTCTTCGATGTTTTTATTATAAAATTGCAAACTTTCAGTGGAAGATAAGAATCTTAAAAATAAAGTAACCATAATTAACTAAAGAGTATATGTAATTTAGAGCAATTTACAGCATCAATAAATATAGACTTTCTAGATCATGTTTTGATCCAGGAATGGCATTTTTAATAAATCATCTAAAACAAGATGGTAGAAAGAAAGGGTTGCAAAACAGTGTACTGGCACCTGATCTGGCGAATATTATCTATAGATCTGGTGCAAAAATTATCTACAACCAAAGATCGGCTTCTCGGTGAAGCGTATCGATACCACGGATGTCTTGGATCAGCTACTACAAGAGATTTACTCTCGGCTCTCTAAGACCAGTCTAATAGTAACGATTAATAGTCCTTCTAGCTAATTGCCCCGACGATATCATCTTTTTCTACCTTCGTCCATTTATCCAGAATGATTCTATTCACCGGCAGCAATTATTAATATAACTACAACAAATTCAACACACCAACAGATTGAGAGTGAACATTGTTTAACGGTGATCGTCGTTCGATTAAGACTACAATGGGTGATCAAATACCTTCTTTATTAGAAGAAATATTATTAATGTCAATTACAATAGCAAAAAAATGCATAAGACCAATTATAAACCTTGGTTTCAAAACCAAAGTAAATATTTTTATGAAATTTCTAAAATATATATAAATTTTATGACCAGTGAAAATATAAAATATATGATTTTATCTGATCATGATATTTTGATCACCCACTGTATAACATTCCTGTTTTTTCCATCTATTCAACATCCCGGTAAAACACGATGTATTGTGGCGATTAACGGCACAGTCACGAGGAATCTTTTCTCTAGCCGAGCAACGAACTAAACGACGTGGTTTCTTAATAATCGATGGGACAATAAACGACGATTCATTGGCCGTGGCTATTGGGAATAATAATCTGTAACGGGGAAAAGTTGATCGAAAGGAGGAACTGCAAATTCGAAAGACCGTGACTGGCCTGGAACGGCAGACTCAAGGCGTCGATTATTCATCTTGAAACCGTGACGACGCTCCCAAGTTCGCGTATCCATCTTCCGTTTTATCTTTCGTCGACGAGCTACTTTGAATACGTCTAGCTGGTCATTTTACACCGACAGCGAGCTGTCTAAACACTTTGCACAATTTAGAAATTTAGTCAAAGTAGGTTGATGGAAAGTCATAATTTGACTTTGGAATAAAATATTGAAAAAATTGAAATGAAAGCCTGTTCATCCCCCCAGTTAACGTGTTAGTTCTCTGATAAATAAAGTAAAATTTACCTTCATCATTAAGAGAAATAAAATATCATAAGCTCGTAACTGCCCATCAAATACACATTCTTGCAGCTACATTTAGTCATGAAATTATACAAAACACTTGATTATTGTTTGCTTCTCTTGCAAACTGCAAGTAGTCACGGAACTTCTCTTCAGAGCTTCGCAATAACCGTCTTTTTCCTTTCCATCGTTCGTCAGCTAATAGATTGTTAACCGATCAGTGGTGTTTTCAGCCACCGGTGTTTATACCTATCGGTAGTACCTTCGACTACTTCCTACAAGCACGAACCTAATAAAAAAGGAAAAGAGAGGAAGCCCATCGAAACGATGGGTTTCCATACCTCCAGGGGATGCGTGCCGTTCTAACTCTTATAGATTTCGCATAAATTTCAATTTATACTGAAATTAGGCAATATTAGATGCTGGAAGTTTTCGGTAAAGATCGAGAACCCGGTTCAACCCCCAAAAAATTCCCAAATAAATATTTATCAAATTAGGAAATTATCGCTTATCGAAGTGAGAGCTTCTCAGACGTCCACGTTAAAATACTATGCGTCGTTCAGCATACCTTAGGTACACGCGCTAAACAGGTATTTAAAGCGGTTATCATTTATCGCGAAACCGTTCCGAGACGGCGATCGCCTTTACACGGTCGAACCTCTTCTTTTTCCCTCTTTTTTTCGTGTTCTTGTTCGCGCTCACACGCGTGTACCGGCTCCGCGTGCTGCACGTGCTAGCAGGATCATCGAAGGTAGGCTTGCCAGAAGAAAAACGGAGATCGAAGACGGAGACTTAATTGCGGAATAGCAGCGCACGTGCAGACGTCGATAACGCGCGGTCTTTCCGTTTCTCTGACATCATCGATCAGCCACCCGTGCGTTTCTTCTTCTTTTTCACCACCTTTTTATCACCGCTACCACTATCACCGGTTTGTCGGCCATTTTTCCCGGCCACGGTTATTAGTCAAGATCGGTCGGTAAATTTTTACCGTTGAAAAACATTCTTGACTACCTGGCCGGTTGGATGATTTTCCCTCTTTGCACAGACGTCCTAGCCGCTCGATCCTCTAATTAACATCGCTGTATCTCGACGGACTTATTGAACTCGTAATGCACCTCCGTGATTCTTTCCTTCTAAACCAGTCACGAATGTATCATCAGCACGACTTGAATTTAACCCATTTTTTATTACGCGCGTCGTAGTAATTGTTGTATTAAGCCTGCATCAAATCGGCAACTCTTAGGTTTCAGTCACCATATTCTTTTGTTGCCTTATAAGTACTCAAGAAACGTAATTCATTCTAAACGAGCGTGATTTCATTCATTCAAAAGCAACCTGCGAATCACCTTGCGGATGATTGATTTGCAAATGAACAGTTAACCTTCGATCTAAATTACAGAAACTGCTACACGTTGCAATAGAAATATTTTTAAATTGTTCCTAGCAGAGGAAGCATGCTCGAATGCCATATAAAAATAATTTTTCAAAATAATCTTATTGACAAAGAAAATTATTTCCGATAACAGGAAAGACACTGGAATATCCCATGTAGAAATAACCTCCTCGTGAAAAATATTGAATAGAAAAAGGGTTAACGCGATGAGAAAATGCAAGATACCGCGTTTAACCGGGACGCGTGCAGCTCGCTGGAGGGCAGGGACCCGTGCTATGCGCTCGTTGAAGTCTCCGGGGCAGCGAGCGGCTGCGCGGCCAGCAGTAGGTCGAATCAGGCCCGAAAAGCTCTTACGGCCTACGTCCTTGAGAGATCCTGCAGGCCGTGCACGGTGTTGTCCAGCGGTGGTAGACCGCAGACCGTACGTCGGGTGTGCTGGTGTTAACTCTCATTCGCACACGGGTACAACTCACCAGCACAAGAACGACGCCGGTGTTCGCCATGCTACACGGACGATTTCATAGGATACGGGGATAGTCGGTGTGTCGAACGACACGTGCAGCAGCATCGGGAACGTATGTACACGTAGACGGGCACCGGTGCGAGGTAGAACGAAGGGGTACCAGGACAGTCGAGAAGGAGAAGAAGGAAGAGGTGGAGGAGGATGCGAAGGTAGTGGTGGCGACAAGGTGCACAGAGGGGAGGTGAGGTGTAGATGGTGTAGTGGTGGCAATGTTCCATGGAGTAGGGGGTCAAAGAGGGCACGGGGATACCGGAGAGAGGGGTACAGGTACCGCTATACCTGGAGTCGCCCGAGGCGAAATACATACCTACCTACCTACCTAGTATATATTCTCTCGGCTCGTTGTACCCGGTAACATCGTCTCTGTTCAACTAACCGATTCTCTCTGTTCCTCGTACCTACGACTCTCTACCCCCCTTTCGTCGGCGTTCCGAAGCCAGCGGAGGTATACCGCTGTAAGTCCACCATGATGCACGCCATAGAGCGCACCGCGGCCACCGTAAGACATTGCGGCAGCAGTGCCTTGCCTTGACTTGCCGACGTCCGTCGTGGTGCTGCTGCAGCCGTCGTCGTTTCGAGCTGCCTCCGCCGTTCTTCCATCGTTCCTTCTTCCGCAGCTTCTTTCCATCTGTCACTCCTTTCCTTCCTGCTTCTCTCTAGTTGGTAAGCCTATAAACGTGTACCAGGCAGTTGCCTGGCTGGTCTGACTAGAAATCCTCTTGGTCGAAAATACAAAGATCCTGTTCGTGGAGTCTATATGAAGGAGGAAATTCGAGCGGAGCCGATCCACCAGAGGTCAGACCTCTTCTCTCGTTCCTCCCAACATCCGGCTTCTTGGGAAGAAAAACAAATTCCTGGCTGTCCGAGTATCCGCCGCCGCCTGAGGAGAGCCGAGAATTCGAGGAGAACAGCAGCCGAAGGTGCACCAAGGTAGTCTCTCGAAGAGGAACACGAAGAAGGTTCTCCTCTTTCCCCACCTACTGCTCCGCCACTACCTACCGCTACCTCCATCTCCTCCTTCCTCCACCTCCACCACGCGTACAGTCGTACGGTCGCCGGCGAGCAATACGGTTTACGGCCGCGTGACACTGTCCCGGACAACATCGCCGTCCACGAACAGCTGGATCCACGTTGGATCGGAGTTTCATCCTTCCGTTCGTGGTGCGTGTCGCCAGGATGGTATCCTCATTGTCGCGGTATCATCGTTCGTGTAGCTGGTGAACCGATTATAGAAATCATCGGCAAACACCGACACTGCGGTGTCTCCTCCGTTCTTCAGGCTGAATCCCAGAAACGAGAATTTTCGTTCCGTGACGAGTGAATCGACGCGACGATACCCGGTCGTCCTTAAGCCGTAACTGTACACGACGATCAACAGCATCGGTGTGGTTATTCGTTGGAACGGTGCTCGTGGCTACGAAGCCGGACGTTTCTAACCGCGGCAAAAGAAAGAAAAAAAAAAAAGGAAAAAAGGAACCACAAACGTCGAGGTGCTAACACCCAGGGGAAGCTAGCGGAACATACGTGTCCGTGTTTGGTCGCGAGTGAGAGTGTTTTTCGCGTGTACGAGCGTCCGTGGTGGCGTCCGGGCTTCTGACGAGACATCAACATCTGGTAGCGTGTTTCCGGTCGCGCGAGCGCGTGCACGTCCCGTTCTCCTGACGGACGGTGCGCGTTCGAGTTCCTCTGACCTGGACGTTCGGCAACCGGCCGATTTCCACGAGGTTGCGGTGCCGTTCAACACACCTACACGTGGGTGTACGAACTTCCTTCTTTCGTTATAATCGTGCGCGTCCAAGAAAGAGGACAACGAGGACGACGAAGACGACCTCGAAGAGTCCTCCAGTATGCCGTGGATAGTTCTTCGTGGATCGTTTAAGTGATCGATCGAATTGCTTGCTGGATCACGGTGCTAGCTTCGAGTCAGCTGTTGATCGAGGATTATTCCTGCCAGCTATTCCCCGTGTGGACGTCCATCTTCTATTCGCAGAGGTTAGTCACTCTCCGCTCGTTCCGGTATAGTACACACGCGTACGTGCACCGCCTGCTGCTGAGCCGCGCGCGTGTGCGTGCGCGCGTGCGTCCACGCTTCTTGCGTGACTGTGAACGATCGTGTCCCCCGTTTTACGACTGTCTGCGTGTTCGATGCTAGCGTGTGGGTAGACGCTCCGCGGGCTGACTGTGTGGGAGCCACACAGTGCATACGGCCGCGTGGATGCTCGCGGTGCAACGATCGATGTCGTGTACTCTACCGTCTGTATACACACGTCTGCGAATGTGTCAGCTCGAATGTCTGCGTTTATCCGCGTTGCGAAAGCGGCGCACAGGCTGTTCTATTCTTTTACCTGGCAAACTTTTCGTTCTTTTCAAGAAATTTCATGCTTAACTGCTGTTTGTAGGTGTAATGTTATGTTCAAGATAAACAAGGACGTAAAAGGTTCTTCAAACTGCTTCTCCTAATTATTACAGTCGATTATTCGATCGTCTGTGAAAATCTGTAATCGCATCTGTTACGAGTTCAAAGGGTTGGATAATGGTGTACCTAAGTTGCTGTCGTTTAGTGAAGTGTCAAATGCTCATAAACTGTTGCAAAGAGTTCGTTCGTGATCTCTAAACAGTAGGTAATGCTATACAAAATGGTAGAAAAGTTCAAGATTGAACAATAAATGATAAAAATTATACAAAAAGTAAACGTTTGATCTCGATAAACCTGATTACCTATTTCTCTCTATGTCTGCGCATAAGACACAAGAATTCTCAAGTAAATATTCAGTAAGAATGTGAATTTCCTTCAACTGATTCAGTACATTTGCGTCACATGAATCTATGTAAATTGCCTCATACGAAATGAGAACATTTAGCTTCCGGAAATAGAAGAGCTATACATTTTAACATCTTATGTTCCTACATATTTTCTCGGTTGGATGTAAAACGGATACTGAATGAAAGTGAAATCACATTAAAATCTTCATTCATAATTTACCTCGCTTCGTTAGATTTTTCTAAGCAACGTAGCTGATGATTCACCTTACAGAGTCAGTGACAGGTGCACTTCCGGTTGCAACTACCCGACTAACCTCACATACTCAAAAAGGTCAAGGATCCTACTTTTGCCCTCAAATATTTGTATTAATTTGTACGAAATTATATTTGGCCACAAATTAAAGGATTACATATTTTCCAAAAACTTGCAACATTTCTCAGTACTATAATTTCATCCTTATGATTGCAAATGTTCCAACTGAGATCACTTTGACTTCTACAAATGTGGTAATTATCAATCTAATTAAATCGAGTTGCAAAAAAAATTTCACTGATTGAAAAAAAAAAGAGAAGAACGATGGGTTTTACACGATTTCTTCGAAGTTGGATCACGGTTCGTCTGTGATTGATTTACCGACGATTTCAAAGAGCTACGGTGTTATTCAGCTTCAGCTCGTGAAACGAGGAATTCCCGCGGCTTGGAAAAATGCTCGTAACGAGCGGTCGATCGAATTTTTACGCTTTTTACCGACGTTTCGTGGCCGCTTCTCTCCGCGACACTTGGATGCTGGATAAATGCTTCGACGCATCGCAAGAAAATCCTACGATCTTTCTTTTTCCATTTCTCAATTTCTCTTTTGTGACTGTTGCGCTATACTAGATAGGAAATTCTTTCATTTTTGCACCTGTTTCCTTTTGGTATTTCTTGTTAACCGATCTTTCTTCTTCACCGCTGTACAAAAGTGACAAGAAGCCCTAGCAACTTGTCTATTATAGAATAGAATATTTCTAGAGTTCAATGATAACGAATAGGTAATTTCCTTAAGCTTTACAATACACCAGTTTTTCGTGCAATTTAATTTTCTGATACAAATTAAAGTCGAGTCAAATTTTAATTTGAATCGTTATCAGCACAAATTAGCGTTTACAAAAAATCTTAGTATAAAAATATAGTTTTCATAATATTTCACCCTGGACATTGGTATTCGTTAAAAGTTATACAGAGTGATAACGTGTACCTCCTCGTATTAAAATATGTATACACCTAGTTAAACTAGTTACAAGCTTTTGCAATACGTAATATAGTTATCAAAAATATTTTACTCTCAATATTGTTACTTATGGAACGTTATATCAACTCGTAAAGTGTACTTATGATCAAATATGAAAACAAGTCAGACTCGTTACCACTTTCTGTACCTGGCAATAAATAGCTTGGTTATTATCAAGTTGCAAGCGTGCTGCAGTGTTCAGCTGATTCAGCAGATCTTTTAGACCACTTACTTAGGAATTTGATCTTAAATAGAAACGATGATGGTACAAGATGTTCTATCGAATATTGAAAAACTTTTCAAACGATTTCATAAACGATGCGATAATTGCAAGATAATAACGAGATAAAATATTAAATTTGCAAAGGAATTTCGATGGCAAAATTCTTTCACCGTTATCAACGAGTGGGTGAAATTGACAAAGAAAGCACCGATTTCACGTCGGAAGTGGAGAATAAGAGGTAGGATCGGTTCGAGTTATTTACCACGAGCATCGTACGGTTTTACGGGGCCGGATTTCTCTGCCCGCGCCCGTCGTAAGTCGCCGGCCGGCCAGCTTCAAAAGCGACAATACGTTATGCAAATGAGGGTACGTCAGCGAGATTCTCCCTTCGATTTGCATTAAGCTTGCATTCAACGTCGCTAAGTACTTTCACCGTTGAGCTACGAGCCTCGAAATCCCATGACCGGAGATCGGACATCGATGAATCAAGGAAAAACGTGCTCGTCCAGAAAAAAATCACATATGCCATACCAGAGGGAATATTATCCAAATTTTAGAAGAAAAATTGATTACCTTTGATAATAAAGGTTACACCCTGAGATGTATCAAATATCCGACATAATTTAATTTGCAGCTGACGCGTATAAATCTTTATGAAAATCAATTAACACGTAGCAAAGAAACTGTGCAAAACGTCCAGTGTTACATTCAATCAATAAACTTGTTGAGGAACGGCTAACCTAATTGCGTTTTTTTTTTTCCATTTTATGCAACAGATCGATTTGATTAGCGGATCACGGTGTGCTTTAGAATCTCCTAGGCGTGTCTGTGCCGTTAATTAATGCTTTTTACATGGTAATTAGAAACATTTTAATACACCTTGCTGGATAAGGAAGGCGTATTATACATATGCATTAAACAAAAATGTTTCCACTTCTCTTGTTTTTTACCTAATTATGACAGAATAACAACCGATCAAACTAATAGGAATTTTCATGTTTCAACAAATTTACTTCATCGATGTTTAATTTTGAATCACGATAATGCTGTAATCATGGATCAAAATGACCATAACCCGCGCCTAATTTCTAACAACTAAACATAAAAAATTTCATATTTGGCGCTTTATCGAGTGGATGAAACTTTTTAATTGATCAAAATTAAAGAGGAACTAATGGAGATAATTACAAAGAGAAATAGAACGCATTAAAGGATTAAATACGAACATGAAGCTTCCTGAAAGAATATCGTTTATCTCGTGAGCAAAGTATTTAAATGAGTTTCGTGTACTCTCACTTAGCAGCTCGTAAATCTTGAATCGATTCGCAAAAAAACGGCGATGGACCGCTTTCATGAACGTGTAATTAACTGGCATTGCCTTTCGTCGGAATCCTTTGTTTCTTTTTGCGAATTTTGTTGAAAAAGAAAAAAATACATTAACATTCGAAATAATCCATGCATTATAAACCTGAAGAAGTTAGCATTTATTTAGATTACAATGCTTCGCTAAAAAATGCATTATTCATTTGTAAATTATGCTAATTGATAAGTCTTTGAAAATTCGGTATTTTCGTAAAATTGCAAAGACACGATATTAGACTAATTTCTTGGTATTTTTAATTATATTTTAAAGGAATTCCTCTGCTGACCTAACTATACCGTTCATAACCCATTCAACCTGTATAAATTGATCGCGTAAATAAATGGTGCTCGTGCACACGGTTCACGATAGCATAAATCGTATACTAATGAATCCCACGTGGGATGTTCTTGTTTCAAAAGAGGATAGGTAGCATCATTATAAAACAGAAGGGAAAAAAAGTGCTGGAAGAACGGAATATTTGAACGGTAAATTGTTGAGATAACGGTTGTCCAGATAACAGAGGTTCCACTCTATTTAACGCACAAAATGCCCGCAAAATTCAACCGGGCCACTCGAGTAATTAACAAAAACACCAAACTTATCCGTGAAATTCGATCGAATCTCCTTGCAATGTACACTTCATGCCAATGATACACTGTAATCCTTGACAACTTCAATTATGAATAATGAGACAAGTACTAAAAATAATAATTGTAACAGTATGCCACTAATGGCAATTGTCACAGAGTTTTTTAACAAATCTAGAATATTCATTCATTAAGCAGATTGTGTTGAGCAAATTGTATTAAATTATGTATCATTTAACTGGGTTAGGTACGTGGTAAAATATAAACTTTCGAAAGAATTTCATCAACCTTAATTATTAAAATTCCTGTATTCTTCTCGTTAACCTCTTAACTAGGTCATTATTTCAGCAGAAAAGTTACTTCTCTCTCGAGTATGTAATAAAAAAGATACGAAGAAGAGTTGTTAATTTGTCATACACAAAATCCACGATAATGAAACTTATGTGTTTTTTCTAAGCTTTATTTTATATTATTTCTAATTTAATTTCACTTCTATTTCTATACCAATTTAATTCATATTTTATTTCCAACGTTGATTTCTAACTTTTATGTCCATATCTGTTTTTTCCTTTTCTCACATAGAATTGTTGTTAATATTTATTTATACCATGGGTTTACGATATTATATTGATCTCGATTAATTTTACGACCGTGCTACACCATTTCCAATCGAGTATACATCGGCGATTTTCCATGCTGGAAAAGCTTAGGCTTAGAAAATTTCACAGAGAAGAAACGGTGTTACACGCTCGATGCAAACAAGTTCGACACACGAGCATCGGTGA